ACTGGCAATGGATATTTTTTCAATCCCGGTCTCCACCGTTGCAGCCGAACAAGCATTCAGTACAACCGGCCGAATACTTGAAGAAAGGAGAAACGCATTGCAGCAGGATATTGTTGAAGCTTTGGTGAGCATCAAGGATTGGGACCGTTCCGACCAACGCTTACACGATACAATCTCACCGGCAAACCAAGAATGGATCGACGAATTTAATAGATTAACTTTTAATTTTCAAGATGATCCTTCTGCTTCATCTTGATAATTTCTTTGTAAATATTTATTTACTTTGTAATTTCTAATTTGTATAGTGTTTATTGTAATTTGTAATCTTGTATAGACTTTGTAAGTTCATCAAATTTGTAATTCATCCCACAATGATTGCACTCTTTTTTCCTTACCAAGTTTTTATCCCAATTGGGTTTTTCTTGGTAAGGTTTTTAATGAGGCAATCATGAATTACAAATTTAAAAATCAATGAAGAAGTAAATTTTTTTATATAGTTCATTCGTGTCGTGTGTTCATTTCATATTTCAAATTGTAATATACACAATTACACATTGTAATTATACAAATACTTATTTCAACAACATAAAAATATAATATAAAAAAAAAAAAATTCGGGCAGCCGGTCGGGCATCGGGCAGCCCGACCGGGCACAGGCAGGCTTCCTCTGCCTGAAGCCCGTCCATGGGAATTTTCGGGTCGGGCAGCCCGAATTTTTGGGCAGATCGGGTTCAGTCATCGGGCAAAAATTCAGATTTTTTGATGGTCACGGACGGCCCATCTAAAATTTCAGCACTGCCTATAAGTAAGGTTGAGTTGAACCATCAGGGAAAAAAGAGGTTTCTGACTCAAAAGACGTTATTCTTCAGAAATTTCCATTGTTCTCTTGTCCTCACCGTTGTACTCTTATTTTTATACCCGTTGAGACGATCCTTTATTCTTCAGAAATTTTCATTGTTCTCTTATCCTCACCGTTGTACTCTTATTTTTATACTCATTGAGATACTCTGCTCATCAGCTAAATTCTTAATAATTTGAAGAGGATCCTTCAGCGCCTCCAAGCTTCTATTCCCTTTGTCAATAATCGCGAAAAAGAATAGTGAATGCAAGCCCAAAAGTGGGTGTAGCTCTTATTTAAAAGAGTGAACCAGTATACAATTTTGGTGCCTTTATTTATTTTCAGCACTTTATTTATTCTTGTTCATATAATCGATGCTAATTTTCTCTTGATGTAATTAACGTGATGGCGAATATTAAACGGTGATCAAGGGGCCTAATTTTTACACTTGTGATTTCGTTTTATTAATTATATTGATTCTCTTTTTTTATTGTAGAAAACCACGTCTACAATGGAAATTAAAAATTTCCGGTCTACCAAATTGTCTCCGATCTATATAGATCCAATCTACCTAATTGTCCAAAAATATATATAGTTCTTTTGCTAATAATCGGTCATCAGTTAAAATTAATCTTAAGGAAATGAGAATTTTTTATTTTTATTTTTAACACTCGTACTCTAACATATATAATAATACCAATTAACTCCCATTATTAAACCTCACATGGTCCTCAATGCTTATTTCTATTGAGGTTTTAACTATGAGTGAACGAGATGACTAATTTAATATAGTTTGATGGTCCAGGAATCATCTGAAACGTCAATAAATCAAGGGCTAAAATAAAATTTGGCCTACAATTTGGGAATTAAATAAGATTGACCCAATATTAATTAATCGACTGGAACCTTAAACGAACGAACACGCTGACAAGCACCATCAAAATTTATTGATACATTGCATTGCTCTGTGGAGCTCGTGACAAGTACCATCAAAATTTATTGTAGATCGTATTGGTTAAAATCCTGAATATTGCAGTTTTCATATTGACTATGTCCATAACTTTGCAGGAACAAATTGCACTTGCTGGGCCTGTACGTTACTTTGTTTCGTTGGGACCTTTAAATTTCCTACCAATATATACGGTTAGACTTGAAAATTTACTTTGTTTTGCAGTGCTTATTATAAGAAGGCTACATTGTTAGAAACCTCCGAAGCTTCTACAATGTTAGACATCTCTAGTTTTCTTAAATCTTAACCAATTATAACGTCATTAATTACTAGGATATATATGACTCCTTGAAAAGGAAGAGAAGAAAAAATCAACATTGTCATGAGCCACCGCATGTGTGCCAATTGTTAACTAACTCAGCCCCCGCATATATATATATATATATATATATATATGAACACTCTCTTTTTGACGCTCTTTTATTACAGTAATTAGCGCACTACATTTTTCTTGTAGTACGTTGTTTGCATATGTTTATCTCAGCTGGTAGGAGAGAGTACATTTATTTATATATGATATGATATTAGTATATATAGTCAATCTGCATGCAAAGGATTCCATGCAAGCATTATAACTTGATCAAGGGCAGAACACGACCTTATAGTTGGCCCCAGAAGGACAAGTGAATAAGCTGGTGGCGTCATCCTTAGGGTAGCTATAAGCATCAGGACACCGATCCTTGAAATACCTAGAGTAATCTGTGGGCCCACAGTAGTTTCCAGAATTACAACAATACTGGTCGGTCTTAAAGACGGGACAAGCGCCATTGCAACCACCGTCGACCCTCAACGCGGCGGGACACTGTCCGATGATGTCGGCGGTGCACCGGATCACGCGGTTGCACCCGCCAGACGTGGGGCTGAACTCCATCGGCACATTGAACCCGTCGATGACCGAGATGTCGATGTAGTCCAAGTTGCTGAATCCGTTCAGCGTGAACTCCGCCAGGGTGTTGGGAGCCTGGCCGTAGCCTTGGCACTCGAGGATGCCGCCGCAGTCGCCCGTCTGGCACCTACCGCGCCCCGCCCCGTCGAAGCTGCAGCCTGTTCGGGCCCATATTCGGCCACTGCTTGTGCCCGGGTTGACGTTGATGGTCCATGTATTGCCGGAGTCCAACTGCCTGCCACCGCCGGGCGAGGCGGCGGCCCAGACTGTGTAGGGGCAGTTGTTTTTGATGTCGAATATGGCAGCATGTGTGGAGATGAAGAAAAAAGTGAGAAAGAGTATAGGGAGAACATAGTAGAGGTTCATGAGGAGCCTCATGTTCTTGGAGCAAGAGAGTTGAGAGATATTGGCTTAGCTTTTAGTTTTTTTATGGATGTTCTGTGATGAATTGCTTAAGGCCTGAGGGATTTATATAGAAGCTGCGGATCGTCCAATATGTGAGGTCAGCACATGACATGTAACTAACGTTATTTATCATTTGTGTGTGTCTATATATATATATATATATATATATATATATTTCTTAATTACTATGCATAAAAATGAGATTGATCATATAGCCAACCAATAATTACTTGAGAAGTCATCAGTAAGACGTCTGTACGAAAATTGAAACCTATAACCCTCCAACGTTTTGACTAGCTTGTTTTGCTGTAAATGATTTTGTATATATAATTAACCAGCTTAATGATTATTAGCAAGTAGCTCAAGCAATCATGATTAATAATCGGTTGTTGGTCTCAAATGGAATATATATCTTTTTTATAACTGATGTGGCTTATAAACAGCTTATATAAATGTACCAAGCATGTCTCATCGATCCTAATATATATATCCTCCATATGTATACGTTAGCTTGTATCATATGGTAATCTTGATAAATACTCCTTAAAAGTACATGTGTCAGGATTTTTACTCTTTACCCTTGATTCATAATCTTTTTAGTTAAATAATTACACTAACAAAATGATATTTATCATACTCATGCTCTCAAGAGTAAATTCTCTATTTGTCAGTATCTGTGATCTCATATGTAATCTTTCCGCGCAATTACTCATATTTAGGGGTGGTTTATTTTATGTACTCAAACTCAAATTATTACTTCTGCTACAGTGTAAAGCTCTCACATAAATTTTGAATTTTAAACATCAAAATTAAGAATCATGTGTTTAATTATACCTTCCAAACGGGTCTTTTAATTTCTTCCACGATGGAAATTGGAGAAAACAAATTATTCTATACAATTCCACAGAGAAATTTCAACGTGAAAAATTGGTTTTTGTTTCTGCTTACACCATGATGTCTCACACAGAAATTTCATCTTGAAGAATTGGTCTTTGTTTCTTTTGTTAACTTGAAGATTGTCAGATTTCCAACAATTTGATAAGGGTAACTAAAGAAATTGAGAATCAATTCTTAAATAGAAAAACACCGGTCTAGAATCAAATAATTATAAATCTGAGAATAAAAAATGGTCCCTTTCTTATAAGTTTTCTACCATGATAGTGGCAGGAGACAATAAATTGGAAAAGGAGTTGATCGAGAGAAAAGAAAAGTCTCGGAGCCTAGAATATCGAAGTATGAACATGAGAATAAAAAAAAGTGGTCCTTTCTATCATGGTAGTTATAGGACACAGAAGCCACTTAGTTGTTAATTTCCTTAAGATATTTAAAACATATAATATTCTTTTTTGACGGAAAAAACATCCAACCTTATAAATGTGAAGATGGCTTTAGATAGATTGTTTGCTTTTGGTTTCAAGTGAAGCATTATTGGTTATAGGAAAATGGGCTTTATATAGAGCTTGGTATATTATATCAAGGAAAATTACCACACAAAAAAAAAAAAAATTATATTATATATATCAATGTATGGCTCTAACTAAAGTGAAACAATTTTCCTGTAGTTGGAAATTTGTGAAAGATGACGACATGCACATGACGTCGTAGTTAGTTTAATTGGGCCTAACTTTTTGAGAAAAGTCAAGATATGGTTGCATGAAAATCCGTCGAGATTGTCTATTTCGCTATTAATCAGCATATATACACCAATGTGTTGAGACACTGAAAAGTCTTTGTTTTGTTAATTCTAGTATTTAGGAGTTTGTTTTTAGTGGAATAGTGTTGAACTATTTCTTAGCAAGTTTATTTTACTGATAAATAATAGTTTGTTATTTTACCGAGTCTTTAGCTTTTGCACGTTAGATTTAGTGCGCTCTCACATGTTAGTGGGCTCCTGATGTTGCTCTATATAAAGAGCTTTGTATGTTCAGTTTTTATTGGTAGAAAAACATAAAAAGGTTCTTCATCTTTGTCTTCTTCCACTTTTATATATATTTTTTGTAACATAATGCACGTATAATATGTGTGTATATATATCGACAATATCATGCATGGTTGCTTTTGATCTGCTTAACATACAATTTTTTTTTAGCATACAAATTCTTTAATTAATGAGCAATTGGCATCGAGGATAAACTGATTATAATTAGCTTTTGTTACATATCCGATGGTCAAGAAAATGTTAATATGAAGATGATTCTTATTGTTATTTTTAAATTTTTTATTTTTCTAGAAAATGTAAGAACGTGTTATTTATTTAGCCTCGATTTTCCTACAATTGAACATGATTTTTCTACAAGAAAAAGTCTATGATGGAAATGACCGATATCCGAAAGAAGGAAAAGTCTCATGAATTTATCACGTTGTGATTTTTGTCCACGTATATACCTTAGCAACTTTTTATTTGTTTATTTCACAATTTAAGTTGAGAATTTGAGTTGTACATGTGAGATAAAAATACTATAATAAAAAAATTACATTTGAATTTTTATAAGATGAAATACTGTAACAATAAAATCTGAGTTGTGAAAAGAATAAGCCTCTTATTTCTTGACAATGTCCACCCTCACAATTAATTATTTTTTGATCCACTTTGTTATATTTTTTATATAAGACAGGATCGATCCTGGGCTAGTATTAATTCGTGGTAACAGTCATATATAATGGCATGGTAACAGCCAACAGTCATATATACTATTATAATGTGCGCATAATATAATGTTTCTTTAGCTACAATAGAATATTAATTTCAGCAAAAAAGAAGAAGAAAGCTACAATAAAACTGGTTAAAATATGGAACAACAAATGACAAATGCCTAAAGTTTCTGTTGGACAGGGATGACGTAAATGCCGGGAAAAAATGAAGGAATAAGAAAACAGGAACAAAACAGGAAAAAAAAAGTAAAGGGAAAGAAGGGGAGAAGATGAAATTGAACCAAAAAGACAGAAACAGTCTAATGAAGAATAAAGAGAGGAATAAAAACATATATCATACACTATAGAATCAGATATATAATATAAAAGGGAAAGTGGTTGAAAATGAAGCATCAAAAAACAAATCTTTGAAACTAAGCAACCAAAAAAAAGAACTACTTACCATTAGAAAAACATTAACATCGTAAAGAAACAAATCAAAAGTATAAATCCTTAAAAATTCAGACAATATGAAGAGAACAAAGTTATGTTCATCCCCGAACAAACAATCCTGCAAACACAGATGAGGCAATGTAATAATTATATAAAAACAAGTGATATGCAGCATGAAAGGCACCGGAACAGTAAAACCTCATAAACCCGTTAGATAAAATTACAGTAAGTAAAAAATGAACCGTCTGATCATTCCCCAATAAACATATCTGCAAAACAAAACAAACCCAGAACCAATAGTCATGAGGTAGATATAAACTAAAGAGACGTTTGGTTCATGGATTAGAACCATGAGATTAGAACTATTTTTTATTTACGTGTGTTTATTTTAGAGAAAACACTGTAGCGAACCACAAACCATAATTCGAATCAGGGTACGAATCCCCTAACTAAACAAGTTCTAAATATCCGTTATATAAAATTACAGGATGAGATAAACACGTGTCAAAAAGAAAAGAAAATGAAGAACGACAACATAGCAATAAAAGAAAAGAGGAACAAAAACAAATAAAAGAATGAAAAATATTAGAAAACTTGCAGACAAACCCATAAGATTAACCCAGAAATTAAGAAAAAAGAATCCCTGAAATATCAATGGGCTTGGTCTGAAATCTCACACTGTTCAAAGAACAGTAAATCTGCTACCAGTAGTATGTATAATATCAAAATAATGATCAAAATATCTTAGAGGAAACCACCGAGAACCAGTCATCTTTTGGACTTTTCAAACGTGCCGTGTTTGGAATGGGAAGTAACGAATTAATACTCGTACTTACTTTTATTATGAGGTCTATCAATCATATGCACTTTTAGGCACCTGCCCCTCACGAAATCACGATCATATAGAGAAATCAAATAAGCAAATTAGTTTCCTTCAAATATTAAATTCACTATCTCGATCGAACCCAAAACACACAATTATGCCTAACAATAAAGAGACCCATTATCAAGCCAACAAATTTAGTATATATGACCTATATATATATATATATAATCTCTTCAATCAAGACAGAAGACAACGTTATAGTCAGTCGTATGTAAAAGTGCTAGTTTGATCATCTGCCGGATAACTATAAGCATTAGGGCACCTATCATTGAAAAACTTGGAGAAGTTGGTGGGCCCACAGTTGCCGAAATTGCAACTGTTAGGTCCGTTTTTCAGTCGGTATCACAAGTGGTGTTACAACACTAGTTATGACACTGATGACAGTAAAAGTATTTTGGACTGTGTATTTAGAAAATAAATTTGTAGAGGCTATGCAGAAAGATAATAATGCAGAAACAATAAAGACAGACGAAATTGGTATCGCAGTTCAGTGCGTACACTACTCTGCGGGGCCACGCCCAGACAGTGAACAATCTACTAAGATAAAGAGATTACAAACACCAATCGGTCTCACACACTCAAAGACTCCCTCCTTGATGTTGTCGCCGCTATGGAGAATCCTCTTAGTGACCTTGTCCAGCGAGTACCACTCGTCTTTAAAAACTTTCTCCCGAAAGTAATCTGTTCTTCTCCCGAAGAACTACCTTTTGTTTAATTCACTCAACGAGCATCACCACAGCCTTTTGCTGCAGAATATGTCATTCAAAAGCTCTCACATGAACTCAAAATCTCTCTTGTTTACAGCCCCTGTGTCTCCACAACACGTCTAGCCTACCTGCACACTAATTCACCCTTCCTCAAATCTCTAGATCACCAACCATAAATTGTCAACGATAACCACACCCAATAAAAGTAATATCTCATCCATTAATCACAAAATAAAGTCACCAGCCCTAATGACAGCAAGGAGCCCATAATTCTCATGATTCTTTCTTTAGATGAACCAGCTATAATGCTCCAGCGAAGGTCAACCAAGTAAAATGAGCAAATGCCTATTTTAGAATGCATTACAGTCAATTTATCAAAAATAAGCCAACACAAAATGCACTAACAGCAACAATATTGATCGGTCTTAAAGACCGTACAATGGTTATTACACCCACCAAATGTCCTCAACTGAGACGGACATTGCCCGTTGATGTCGGTGGTGCACCGGATCCCGGGGAGCAGACCGTATAGGAGTAGTTGTTGAGAATCTTTATTTGGATTGCATTGGAGGAGGCAAAAGAGAGAGTCAAAATTAAACGGATGGTGAAGACGCCGGTGAAATTTCGGAATAAGCCCATTGATATTGAAGGCGTGATTTTTCTTTTTCCTTTCTCGCAACAATTTTAATCAACTTATTATTTCTATATAGGAAAACCATTGGGCTAATTATTGTGGCTATAGTAATTGTGTGTGTCAAACTTGCTGGTTAATTAAAATATGTTCGGTTGTTGACTTGAGAAGTCAAGATGTGGATGAACTTCTATTCCCTATGTCAATAATCGCGAAAAAGAATAGTGAAAGTAAGCCCAAGAGTGGATGTATATCAGAATCGTGTTTAATTATACCTCTCCTTAACTTCTTCCCCGACGAAAATTGGAGAAAACAAATTATTCTATACAATTCCACAATGAAATTTCAACGTGAAATTTTGGTTTTTGTTTCTGCTTACACCATGATGTCTCACACAGAAATTTCATCTTGAAGAATTGGTCTTTGTTTCTTTTGTTAACTTGATGATTGTCAGATTTCCAACAATTTGATAATGGTAAATAAAGAAATTGAGAATCAATTCATAAATAGAAAACCACCGGTCTAGAATCAAATAATTATAAATCTGAGAATAAAAAATGGTCCCCTTCTTATAATTTTCTACCATGATATAGTGGCAGGAGACAATAAATTGGAAAAGGAGTTGATCGAGAGAAAAGAAAAGTCTCGGAGCCTAGAATATCAATGTATGAACATGAGAATAAAAAAAGTTGGTCCATTCTAACATGGTAGTGACAGAAGTCACTTAGCTATAATTTCCATAAGATATTTAAAACATATAATATTCTTTTTTGACGGAAAAAAACATCTAATATTAATTCCTGTTAAGTTGCAATTATTTCTAGAAAATATATCCTCTATATACTAAACTCTCTCTATGGTGGAACTCAATGGAAAGTATCGAGACCAATTTTATTGAAAGATTTATTTATCTTAATGAAATTTTTGTTTCTTTTTTCTTTTATTACATAGAAAAATTATTAGACCGACCAAATAGATGGTGAAAATTAAATGGAGGAAGTAGTGTTATTAGCCACAATTGAACAATATTAATGCTAATGTTCATTGGGTGGATATGGCTAACAGTGTTGAGAGCTCATATTCTGCTTACTTTCATTGATCATCTTCAAGTAGAAATTAGAATGTTTAAGCCCTTGGAAAAAATTGCAGTATCTAGGACCAAGTGGTTTGATGAAATAAAACACTTATGCAATTTCTCGTGGAGGAATGGTACCGTGGGCTCTGGGTTGACTAATCAGCAGAGCTTGATATCACATGAAAGGTTGTGATTGATGATTCTTTTAAAAAAAAACAAAAAAAAAAGAAAAAAAAATTTATATATGTTCTTTGTGCTTGAAGTGGGCCTAGATCCTCTGTCCAATCATATCATGCCACATCGTATAAAAAATTTAAACTTTTTTAATTAACTCTTTTATGCTTATCATAAGATGATGTGGTATTATTTGATTAGTTAGACGTTAATTGGAACACGAAAAATTAAATAGAAAATCTGAATCTCTTGAAGTGAGAAGGAATTCAAGCGGTGAAAAAGGGTCAATTATGGTGGTATTTACTGCTATCCATGTCGTTGTTACTTTTTTGGGGATCATGCACTCTTTTTCTCTGGGATGAGATCTTACCCCTTGGTGTTTTTTCATTCAAAATTTTAACCAGTTAACTTAAGCCTCGTTCATTTCACCGATTCGAGTTTTCAGTTTTAGGTTTTTACAGTAAAAAACTCTCAGAAAATATCACATCTAACTTTTTCTGCTACAGTGAAAAACTCTCAGAAAATTTCACATCTCAACTCGAATTGAAAACTCAAATTCGCAAAGTGAACAATGCCTATTTTTGGCCCCTTCCCCTATTTGAAGATCTACATGAAATTTTGTCCCTTTTCTTTTGTTATTGATTATCTCTCCCACTACATTTTGACACATCATTTAATTGCTTAAGTATTTTAAGTATTTAGTATTTATAATGAGGTTAAGCTCTCAAATTTTAGTTATATGGCAACTTTTTATTAAAAAGATAGCCAATGAGACAACCAAATTGGGTGAACAAATTTAAACTACACCAATTCTAGTTAATCCAATTTTTTTATATCAATTTATGTGGTAGTGAGTTGTCATCTTTCCACAAGTATTATAAGAAATCCTTATAATTGTTACAATAAATTGACATGATATTAATTTTTTAAACATATATAAAAGAAAGACTAAAAGGTATCAGCCGTGTATATATATATATATATAAATATATATATATATATGTATATATGTTGACCTTATATATTGATTTTTGAGGTATAAGGGAGTTGACCAATTTTTGAAGTATGATTTTGTCGGGTGTGAAATTATCGGTAAGTTATCAATATCTGTATATTGACCTTTGCTTATAGTTAATATATTTTTTATGGTCCTCTGCCAAACAGGTTCTCCCGACCAACGAACAGTATTCTTCGATCAATCAGAAAGATAAGAAATAACGTACATAAACTTTAGAACACCGTTAAAGCTAGAAGTGGAATTTAGTTGCAAAATAAAAATTTTCATATATATATGTATTGCTGATTAAATGCGAATTGCATATAATACTAAAAAATACTGCATCCTAACATTCTATTAATTGTTTGATGACGATATTTATTTAGAAAAGTTCTTAGAGCTAGACCTTTTTCATTCAGGGTGTGATTTGTTATTAAAAATTCGTTTACCGAGAATTCGTCCACACACACACACACACACACACATATATATATATATATATATGTATATGTATATTTATGTATATGCAAATATCACAACCTTTTGTAGCATGTATATAAATGCGGCACAAGTACGTGCATCGCAAATGCAGTTAGCTTCTCCGACCAATAAAATGTTTTATTACACTATTATATTTAGTTCGATCGAACTATATTATTATAAGTTGGCTACTTATTGGTCTTCTGTAAGATTATCGATCGGAGCTTAATAACATGCTTAAGCGCAGAACACAACCTTGTAGTTAGTTCCACCAGGGCACGTAAAAGTACTAGTCTGATCATCCTTAGGGTAACTATAAGCATCAGGACACCTATCCTTGAAAAACCTAGAGTAGTTGGTGGGCCCACAATTGCCCAAATTGCAACAGTACTGATCCGTCTTAAAGACCGTACAAGGGTTATTGCACCCACTGGATGTCCTCAACTGAGACGGACACTGCCCGTTGATGTCGGCGGTGCACCGGATTCTGCGGCTGCACCCGCCGGACGTGGGGCTGAACTCCATCGGAACATTGAACCCGTCGACGAGCGAGATGTCAAAGAAGTCGAGATTGTTGTACTGGTTCAGCGCGTATTCCGCCAGGGTGTTGGGTGGCTGGCCGTAGCCGTTGCACTGGAGGACCCCGCCACAGTCGCCGGTCTGGCACCGGCCGCGGCCAGCCCCGTCGAAGTTGCAGCCGGTTCGGGCCCAAATGCGGGCGGCTTTTGTGCCCGGGTTCACGTTGATGGTCCAGGTCTCTCCGCGGTTGAGCCTCCTGCCGCCGCCAGGCACGGCGGCGGCCCAGACAGTGTAGGGGCAGTTGTTTCGGATATCGAAGCCGGCAGCTTCGGTGGCTGAGATCATGAGGAGCTCAGCCAAGAGGAAAGGGAATACTTTGAGTAGGATTTTGGAGAAACTCATCGTGAAGGAAATTATTATAAACTTTGGTGGTTTTTGGAAGAGATGGTATTTAGAGTTTAATATATGTACACACACACATATATATATATATACACACGTAGAAGGTGGTGGGTTGCGGAAAATTTTGAAGACGATGTTTGCATTTGCTGTAGTTAGTCTACGCACTATAGGCAGTAGTGCGCAAGGTCACTAGCTAGAGATCAAACTCATCTTCGATTGCGTTACATTTCTTTATTTATAACAAAAAAAACTTTAATAAAAAAGAAAATTCTTACAAATTAATAGAAACACCATAAAAAATATATGTATTCGTAAAATAAAGAAAACTCAAATAAAAAATAAACAAAACTAAGAGAGAATTCTAAGGTTTTTTTATTTATTTTAAAATCCTTCTCGCTTATGTGAGTATTATTTAAGCTCGTTGTACGACTTTTTCCGTCAATTACTTGCTGACATGGTATATTCTTGGATATTTTCACCAGATATTATTAGGTATATATATATATATATATATTTTTTTTTTTTTTTTTTTTGAAAGGATATTAGGTATATATTTTTAACACAATGTGTTTAAATTATAAAAATAAGACCAGAATTTTTTATATAACGTTAGGACTAGAAAATCTATTTGACTAACTAAAAGAAGCACTAATTAATCACTCCATAGCGATGGCTTTCTAGATAATGTTACTTTGTTATACAAGGCATACATAGGCCCGTTCATTTAATCGATTTGAGTTTAGAATTCGAGTTTTGTTACAGTAAAAAAACTCTTAAAAACAGTCACATTTAATTGTTTTGCTGTAATAAAAAGTTCTCATATAAAGTCACATCTCAACTCGAATTAAAAATTCGAATCAGCAAACTAAACGGGTTGCAATTTGAAGAAACTAGTATGCGCTATGTATGAAATCTATAGATATATAGTAATATATAAAATGTCACAACGGACAGTAATATATCCTATTATGTGGATATGTGTCTAACAAATTAACAGATAAGTTGTACTGCTCCTATATTTTATTGTAGAAGATACATTGAACAACCGGACTTTTTTGCATTCCAGAGATCTCATGACTTGGAAAAGAAAAGGAGAGGCAAAGACATTAATTGAGATTAAGGAGACGTTTAGTTCATAGATTAGAATCATGAGATTAGAATTATTTTCGATTTACGTATATTTTTTATGAGAGAAAACATTGTAACGAACCATAAACCATGATTTAAATAATAGTATGAATCCCTTTACCAAACGTCTCCTAAGTCAATGAGGCAGAGGACTAATAATTAATGGGGTACTAAGGATAGTCAAAATATGAATTTCTAGCTAAACAAACGCCGACTCATCTTTAGACTTTAGTCAAATCAAGCTGAAATTCAAATTTTTTTTAGAAAAAAACACTATCATAAAATCAAAATTATGAATTTAAACGCCCCTTAGACTTTAGTCATGCTGAAAATGGAGACACCTTTTTTTCTTTTTCCTTTTCTGAATTACGTTAAAAATGTGGATACGTATTTAGTATTTTATTTATTTTATGTTTATCTTGTTTAAACAAAAGTTGTATTGTATTATATGTTAATAAAACTTCCAGCCTAAGCCTCTTTTTCTAGAAGTTCTTTTGAACAGATCAACGCTTTCCCTTGACGGTTTCGGTTCCGAATTTGGTGTCTTATTTCAGAAGGATATGTGAAACGAGGACATTTTTGAAACCCACGAAGATTCCTACTTTTTTAGGTTAGGTTTTAGACGCTTTTATTCCTTGGTACCTTTCAGAAATTGATGTTTTTTAAAAGGATTTGTAATTGATAAGTTATTTTTTGATCATTTACTTTTCGTAAACTATTTTTGAATTTAATAAAGTATTTTAAAGTACTTAAATAATATAACTATGAAAATTTAGATGGAAATATCATCATCCATGCGTTTGATCATCATTCGAAATTAAAATATTTATGCTTTAAAACGAACTATGTAACATGTATAAATGCTCTCTCTGTTTTTTTTTTTTTTTTTTTTACGGGTGTGTATTAGTGCATTTTAGGTCCTCATTGATTTTTTTTTTTAATGGGCGGTCCTCATTGATTTGAATACTTCACAATAATTTTAAGGATAATTTATTAAAATTTATAGCTCAAGAGAAACTACGGGTCCGTTTAGTTCGATGATTTGAGTTTTTAATTAAAATTAAGATGTGACTTTATGTGAGAATTTTTTACTGTAGTAAAAAAGTTAAATGTGATGGTTTCTGAGAGCTTTTTACTGTAATAAAAAAATAAACGGGGCTTACAATTAACTGAAAATTTAAAGCTCCTCGTGAGGATAGTTTGATTTCATTTTCACCTCTAGTACTCTCGGTTGATAAGGAGGCTACATTGTTAGAGACACCACAACACAACGACAAATTCCAGACAGAAAATTCAAAATCGAGTCATATGTTATCTGCCGCCGTTTCTATTTTTCATTGCCGTTTATGGTTATTGTCGTTTTCCATATCTTGTAGTTATTTGGGTATACCATGTTAAGCTTATAGAGGAAATGAGATGGAAGGGGCATTATGATCAGTTTTGTATATATCAGTGGTTGTTTTGAACTGTTTTTAAATATTAATGGACATTTTGAAATATGGTACATATTTTGAAAAGTATTTATTTTGAAAGGTATTTATGAAATAAAACCTTTCAGACTAGGGATGGCAATATTTCTCGTGGAGATGGAACCCGTGGGGATTCGCATCAAATAAAGCAAGGATGGAAACGTAATCTTGTCCCTGAATCTTAGCAAGGCGGGGACGGAGGAAGCACTCCTCACCCCGCCCCTCCCCCGATATACATATGTTATATATAATATAATATATTTTATATGAATATACATACATATACTTTTTGCTAATTATTCCTTTTAATAAGATCTTTCCTGGCTCTACAATTTTTTTTTTTTTACATATGTTTTGAATTTGGTTTGTATTGAGAAACCTTTGATTTCGGTCTAAACTTATATTAAATTTCTACTCTATTTTTATTTTAAGTTACAATAATTTTAAAATGCTTAATTACATTCGATGAAGAATGGGATGAATACGGGAACGTCCTAATAGAAAATCCCCGACTCTGCCCCTGTCTCTCTTTAAGTAGGGATGGGAGTGGGGATGGGAGTGGGGATAGAGGGTGGGGATGGGGATGGTAAATCATTCCCCTGCCCGTTGCCATCGCTGTTTCAGGTTATGGTCTTTTTTAAAAATGTTGTCGTTTCCCATATACTTTCGTTTCAAAATTCTTATTGCATTTTCTATGCCATAGTCGTTTTTTTTCCATTTTCTGTTGTTTTATAATTATTCTTTTCTCAGGTAGTTATCGTGTTTCAAGTTTGGTCATTAATATGTTGTCGCTTTATTCAATTTATCTCCTTTTTTGTTGTTATTTTTGCATATAATGCTTTTTGACACCTCACATTTGAAAATCTGTGATTTCCATTTTTCTGTCGTTTTCATGTTCACGTTGTTTCTAATTTTTGTTTTTGTTTTTGGCTTATTCTCGTTATTGTCTTCTTTAATTCTTTTGCCCTTTTCCATATTCTTGTTGTTTTTGAAACTTATAGTCGTTTTCTAGCTTTTTTATCCTTTTTTAAATAGTTGTCTTTCTTTTTCTTTCCCTTTTCTTGTTTAATCCTTTCTCACGCGGCTTCATGTTTCCAGACTTCCAGTTTATTTAGGCTTTTTTTTTTGGCCGGCTTTCGATTCTAACGGTTATTGACCTTTTTTTAAATATGTTTTTCGTCTTTGTAAACACCTTCTACTTAGAGCTGTCAAATAGGCCGGGCCGTCTATGGCCCAGCCCGTAATAGTGCCGGATTCAGCACGGTCCGGTTCGCTATTATTACGGACCGTGCCAGCCCGGCACATGTAGTGGGCTAGGGCTGGGCCTCAGCTTCTCAGCCCGCGGCCCAAGCACATGGAGGCTCGCGGCACGACCCTTGTTCGGCACGGCCCAAGCCCTTATTCGGCCATTGTTCGGCCCAGCCCAAGCCCATGAAACAGCCCATTTCAATTGGTCCAGGGAGCCCTTCGCGGGCCTAACGGGCGGCACGTGACGGGCCTCCCGTTTGGCCCGTCACGTGCCTCCCGTTTGGCACGTGACGGGCCAAATAGGAGGCCCGTCACATGCCGCACGTTGGGCCCGCGAAGGGCCCAACGGCTAGATCCGGAATTTCACCCCAAAATCTCCTATAAATACCCCTTAATTCCACCATAAATCTCACTGAACAATTCACTCTCAACTTCTCATCTCACTCTAATTCTATCTCTCAACTTATCTCTTTGATTTTGATTCTAAGCTTTTTTCTCACGTTCATTCATTTTCTTGCTCTTTCATTTACAAAGTTCAATCAAGTTCTATCAATTTTCAGAAAATGGCCGCACCAAACTTTCATGATTTCACTGATATTCCTGAGCTTAGTGATGAGGCATTTTTTGAGGAAGAAATGATGCCTCCCCACCCCACCCGCACTGAACCAAAATATGTTCCGGTGGATAATGTTTCAGTGCACAACGAGGAAGCTGGAGAACGCATAGGGGAAAAAGACCGCGAACTTCTTCATCATGGCAGCATTTCACCGAGGAGTCCCAACCAAATCTAAAAACAGGTGAGATGGAAATTCGTGCGATATGTAAACATTGTAAAAAACACTTTTCTAATAAAAATGGTGGGGGTACTGGTCATCTGGATAGACATTGAAAAGTATGTCTCCCGTTGCACCAAGGTGGGAGGGTGAACTCCCGCCAACAAACACTATCACTCACATCACAGGGGTTACAAAATTTTACATACGATGCACAACGTGCTCGTGAGGCACTAGCTAAATTTCTAGCTAGTGCCGAATTGTCTATTTCTTTTGCAGATGATGCCTCGTTCGAAGAATTCATCCAGACAGCCTTTTGCCTACAATTTAAATGGGTAAGTAGAAACACAACTCGTTCTGATTGCATGAAAGTTTTTTATGTAATGAGACAATCTCTTGTTGATAATTTTAGGACTTTTAATGCTACTGTCTCTTGCACTTCTGATATGCGGGAGGGTGCAATAAAACTGGATATTTATGTGTCACAGCGCACTACGTTAATGGCGATTGGGTTTTACAAAAAAGAATAATTGGTTTTCGTTTATGTCCATATCCTCATAACGCATCATCTATTTTTAGTACAATAATGGAAATTTTTGGGTTTTATGGGATAGAAGATAAAGTTTTAATAATTACTTTTGATAATGCGTCAGCTAATACAACTGTAATTAATCTGTTTAAACGTAGTTTGAAACCAGCATTTAGAGGGAAAATTTTTCATCAACGGTGTGCATGTCACATAATTAATTTAGTAGTTCAGGCAGGAATTGAACATATCTCAGCTAATCTTACAAATATTATAGAATCATTATCATTTATATCTAGTTCTGGAGCTCGGCTCCAAGAATTCAAACAATATTACAGGAACAGTCATATGCGACCAAGAAAGTTTCCAACTGACGTGAGACATCGGTGGAATTCAACATATTTAATGTTGAAGGCTGTACTCCCGTATTCACAGCTTATCACGACATAAGTAAACAGTAAGAACGATCAAATTTTAATTTTCGATCCTCATTAGCAGATTGCTGAGTATTTTTTAAAATTTCTAGAAGTTTTTTACAATGCTACTGAATTACTTTATGGAGTTTATTATCCTGCTGCACATTTAGCTTTACATCAACTATTTAATATTTCAGAAACATTTTCTTATTATAGGGCTACACAACTTTTTGGAAATATAGTTAACTTAATGGAAAAGAAATGTAAAAGTTATTGGTCAGGTTGTCCTATGTTATATGTATTGGCAACCATTTTAGATCCTAGGTGCGGAGTAGATGGAACTGAATCATTGATGACTGCTACGCAGAGAATTTAGAAATATATATGCAACTAAGTATTACTGACGCTAAGAAAATGTTAGAAAAGGTTTTTAGTTTATATGAAGTAAAATACAGCACAGGTTAAAAAGAATAGGGAACTTCGTCGTCAACTACCAGTTCAAGGCCTAAAGGATCGTCGTGGAGTTTCTTGAAGAAAAAAGAGAAAACGGCAGGATTGTCCTCAACACAAGCATCTACGAAACTAGTAAAATATTTTGAAGTAAATTTTGTAATCGATTACGATAAACTAGACATCTTACAGTGGTGGAAGAGCAAGACCGATTATTTTCCGACATTGTCCATAATAGCTCATGACATTCTGACGACTCCAGTGTCAACGGTAACATCGGAGCAAACTTTTAGCGCAGGCAACCGAATTCTTGACGAAAAGAGAAGCAGAATGCATCCAGATATCTTGGAGGGGCTAATGTGCGTTAAAGACTGGGAAGATGCTAGAAGACGAAAACAACAATACACAGATGATTCGATGCAAGAATATTTTTCTAACTTAGAAATAACAGAATCTTCTAGAAACACTTAGGTTTATAATTTACTATTCCTAGCTACTGCACTTTTTTTTTCCTTTGCTAAGGTTTTGTCCCGATCTCTCCACGGGTTTTACTTAGCAAGGTTTTTAACGAGACAATCATTTATGTGTACTCCTATTACGTCAATTCAATAAAATTGCATCTTTTGGGGCATATGATATATTTTTTTAATTAAATTTAAAAAAAATACAAGGGCCGCGGCCAGCCCATGAAGGGCCTGGGCCCAGGCCCGGCCCTAGCCCTTATGGACTAGGGCCAGGGGCCTGAACCAGGCTTGGGTTTTTTTTCTCAGGCCCGGCCCAGATACGGTCATGCACTGTACAAAACCATGCCAGGCACGGCCTAGACGCTTAATGGGCCTGGGGTCAAGCATGTCGTGCCGGCACGGCACGGCACGTTTGACAACTCTACTTCTACTTTTCTTTTGTTTGTCGTTGTTCTCGTTTTAGTTTTATTGTCGCTTCATGTTTTCTGTCGTTTTTATGTGTATCACCTTTTTAGGTCGCTCCACGTATGAAGTTTATATAGTTCTTTTATCATTGTCTTTCTAACAGAGATTGTCTTTTTTCTTCTTTTTTTTTTTCATTTTCCACGTATTTCTCGTTTCTTTGTTGCTTCTTTTTCATGCCGTTTTAAATGAATTGTCGTTTCTTGTCGAGATTTACTCAATTTACTCCAAAAGCCTCAAATTATATAATTTTTTGTATCAATGTTTATTGTTTTTTATTTACTCAACATCTACTAATTTTTAATTAACAAACTCGTTTTTTCCTTACAAGTTCTTTTAAAAAAAATTAAAAATACAATTACTAGTTATAGTAAATAATAAATTATTTCTACCATAAAAATTCAAAACTAAACTATATATAATAAGTGAGTTTCATATTATTACGGTATTAAACTATTATATATATTATTCTTAAAGAAAATATCTACTCCGTTCATTTTACTATTTAAATCACAATTTAAACATTTTACTACGATAATTTTTCTCAAAAAATTTACATTTAATTTTTCTGTTACAGTATTTTTTTACGTAAATTAAGTTTTTTAAATTCAAATTCTCAATTCTAAGAAAAAAATGAAAAAAGTTATAGGGAGAAAGAGTGAAATAGGTCAAGACTTGAGATGAAATAAAATTAATAGGCCAATAGTTTACATAAGTTAATAAATAGGCCAAATTACTGTTTTCGTCCATAACTTGTTTGGTTATGAACCATAACTTGACAAGTTATTGTCCATAATTGTCCATAACTTGTCTGGTTATGAATCATAACTTGACAAGTTTATCCATAACTTATCTGGTTATAAACCATAACTTGACAAGTTATGACCTATTAATTTCTATAACTAAAAATTAACCTATATACTTTCTTAAACTTTTTATATTAGCTTATTTTTTACTATTTTCCAAAGTTATAACCCCCACGTGAGGCCAGACCCTGCTATTCCAGAGGGCATTTTTGTAAAACTAACCATGAACCGTCTTAAAGACGCTTTCGGTTTTCAAACGTTACGGATGGACTCATAGGACACGAACTGTCGCCATTTATAGATATTGCCGCCACTTTTTTGTTTTTTTAACTTCCAACGTAAGCTTCTTCTTTGGAAATCCTTTTATTTATAAAAGGCCTTCTCGTCCCACACTTCCACTCTCACTCTCTCGGAGAGCCTCAATTTCTGCGCTTTATCTTCCTTTCCTGCTTTTTGAGGTTAGTAGTTTGTTTTCTCTTTTAGCTTTCTTATTTATCTTTTTTTTTTTCAACCTAGTTTCTTTTCTGTTTGGTTTTTAAGAAACAGTGAGAAAAATGATAGGAGTTATTCTCGGCTTTCGTTGTCTGATATGTTACCTTTTATGTCAATTTTGCTCGTTGTGGGGTTGGTTTTGCTTTTCCTCATCCAATTCCTAGCGAAGAGAAATTCTCGTTTTTGTGAAAAAATGAAAATAAAGCGAAATTGCTTTCATATTGTGTATAAACGACATGTCGTCACTATCTATAGAGCAAAAATGAGAAGACGAGAAATCGACTTTTCGTGTGGTAAACAATGTCGTCTCACTGGGGGTAAACAACAAATACTTTATCTGAAAACGACGTGTCGTTTTTATTAAAGACGTTGTTTTCAATTATGAAAAGAAAACGACATGTTGTATTATTCTAGCATGGACTTGAGAATCTCATGAACTCATTGCATTTCGTGAGCCATGAGTAGAAATTTCCTCCCCTTTGAGCTTGGTTTAATTTCTCTTTTCAATTTCTGTTTTGTTTCTTGTTATGTGGATGTTTGGCTTCTAACGAAGTGTGAAAGTAGATGTGTTAACTCTCCATGAATCAATGTTATTATTAAACCTGTTTACTAAAACCATATTCATGTTTTGCAAAGTTCTTGTCAAATTCTCTTGTTTTATGATTGTTTTGATTTCTTTAATTTGGGGTGCTTGTTTTTCTTATGTGCAAAAGATTAAACTCAAAGTCATTTGGTAAAAACACAACATGACAAAAATGAAGGAGGAAGGAATCATCTTGGAATCAGACAAGGAAGCTGGACTGATCTCTGACTCCCCTGTCTCCGAATCAAGTTCTCATTTTGGGTATTTTGTTTCACCTTTCAAATTAAAATTTCTGCTTGTAGTTTATTCAAATAAAAAAAAAAGAAAAGAAAGATGTGCCTGTAGCTCTTCATTTTATGACATACTGACCATTATAGAAGAAACAAAAGGAGAAATAGCTTATTGTATTATCCTTGTCGTGTGTTTTGATGTCGTTTGTTTTTGCCGTTGTAGAAGAACGACTGGACCAACTAGACGCTCAACAAAAGGAGGATGGACAAAGGAAGAGGTTAGTTGCTGGTTACATGAATAGATTTATCACCTTTCATATCCCTAATATGCTCACGTGCTATGTTATATTGTAATAATCTTTATTAGCAAGACAATTAGTTGAATTTACAAATTCGAATAACAATAGTGATCGATTACGGTTCGAGATGTATTGTATTCAACAACCTTATCAATTTTATAAACACATAAAGCTATGCAGAAGCCAGCCAAAACAAATCTTAGAAATTTTTCAGTGCATAATCCTTGACATGTTACATAAGCTCTCATTTCCTACTTAATGGAACCATTGAACTAAAATGTAATTACAATATCAATTCAAGTATTTAACTATTTACCTGCAAACTAAAATGTAGGAAGCATTTTGGTGTCCTTGTAATGTACTCTTAAAGACTTTGAGTGTTCACTTTTCAAAATTTCACCTGTTCAATGAATATCTCAAGATTCTCATTAAAAAAAAAAGAAATAAGTCCTAAAACCGCGTCGAATTGCCACATAAACACTGCCTTTTGTAATGCGGATGAATCATAATGTTTCTGCCAGTTTCTGAAAAAGGAAGAAAAAAAGATGAGGGAAAATTGTTTGGTTTCCCGTGGCCTCAACTCCAATACAGCAGGATAATTATTACTTTGATAACTTTTGTTTATTCCTTTGGTGTAGCATTGTAATGCATAGATATGTGTACAATATCCGAACTCATGTTTTCTTATTTTGTCTAGGATAAGCTTCTGTCTGAGCTAGTCAAAAAGTTTCAAGCAAGGAATTGGAAGTTTATTGGTAAGTATAGCATCATATCAGTGACTAGTATTGACTCGAATCTCTTGCTTCCATACAATTCTTCGTTTAAGCTTTGGGACGGTCAGTTTGCTCCCGCTGAGGATGTTGTACTGAAGTACGAAAGGCAGTAATTTTTATTACCAATATAACACTCTCTCAATTCAAACTGTTTGATGCCATGCATAAAAACTAATTTGTTGCCTCATGAAAAACTGATGATTTGATGTCCTTATGCTTGTGATAAAGCTGCGCATATTCCTCCTCGAACGGATGTTCAATGCTTGCACCGCTGGCAAAAGGTTCTGAATCCTCAACTTGTTAAAGGATCATGGACAGAGGAGGTATCAAGAAACTATCCTCACTTACACATTTCTTAAGGCTCTACTTGTTTTTTATATTTGTTCTAAATCATCTCTATTTTGGGTGGAAACTTTTAGGAGGATGATCTATTAGTCAAACTAGTTGAAAAATACGGTTCCAAGAGATGGTCTGCTATTGCAAAGTCTTTACCAGGTCGCATGGGCAAGCAATGCAGGGAAAGGTAATCAATAACTCTTTCTACAGTAGTATATAGTTATTTGCTCCTTTTTTCGGACTAAATGTCTTCTATGACAGAATTCGGGCAAATCTGAAGCCAATAATCATTTTCAGGTGGTACAATCATTTAGACCCGGCTATAAAGAAAGATGCATGGACGGAAGAGGGAGAGCGGGCGCTTGCTTATTATCACCAAATATGTGGTAACAAGTGGGCAGATATAGCTAGGTTCTTACCTGGAAGGTATACTGCTGAAAAATGTGGCTTCTTCACTTGCATTACTTATGCATCCAATGCGTGTTTTACGATAATGCAATTGAACAAAAGAATGCAGAAGATCCTGCAAGAAAACATATGCAGTTTGAAAAAATAGGGATTTCTTGATCATTTTTTCTTTTCGCAACTTGGAATATCTGTTTCAGTTTATGTATATGTGACAGGACCGATAATGCCATTAAGAATCATTGGAATGGCACTCTGAAGAAGAAGACTGATTCATGCTCACTAGGCGGTGTTGGTTATCTGATGACTAGCCAAGAACCAACGAGGCCGAAGGACTGTACTTCAGAAGCTGTGGACTTGACATCAATGAGCAACACGACTGATGAACCCTCTTCAAGTTCTTTAACATTCGATGACGACAACATTGGCCAAACCGAGAAGAGAGAAAAAACTCGGGAAACACCTCTTTGTACTGGTGAGACCAATCATGACTCGGCTATTACCACAAACGCTCATGTCCCGGATCTAAACGTTCCATATTGCTACACAACTCCTACTAAGCCTGCACATCCTCATTATGCCAATGATGAGAGTCCAGAATCCATATTGAGAAAGTCCGCGATGACTTACAAAAACACACCTTCGATTATAAGGAAGAGAACGCCCAGGAGCGCTGTTCGTTCATGCTTCTCCGATGTCTCCTCTACACTGACCAGGAAGACAACATCTCACACTCGGGAAAAGGATGTCAACAGCACAGACTTACCAAACTCAAAACATGGTTGGATCTCAAATTCCATCAGTGGACCTCTCATTGCTGTTAAACCTCTGGAAAGGCGCTTGGAATATGCTTTCAATGAGGAAAAAGATTCAATTGATGTTAATTTGCCAGATCTTGGTATAATTGACATGTAATCTTTTTGTTTTAGATGCATGTGTGATAGAGAGAGAACGACTATATTGCCACACCCTTAAATCTTAATGACATGAGATGTAGGGACCTCAAAATTGAAAGGGATTAAAGGCTTTAATTAGTGTGCTTTTATGCTGTATTAAAATCTTTGAAACTGCCTTTTAAGAAGGCTTAAAAGGCTACGTTTATTTTATCGATTCGAATTTTCAATTTTAATTTTGTTATAGTTAAAAACTCTCACAAAAAAAATTATATTTAACTTTTTTTACTATAGTAAAAAGCTTTAATATAAAATCACATTTTAATTCAAATTGAAAACTCGAATCAATAAACTGAACGAAACTTTCTTTCATATGAGTGTGTTTTGATGTTAAAAATTTTGTTAAGCTATCGGACAATACAGATTGGTTGGCAGTTGTAATGTGAGCACCAAGTGGATCTCTCGTCAAAACAAATCAACCGTACATGATTACAAGTCACATGTCGACATGTCGTGTTGGGCTGTAAAAGATGTCCCGACACAAAAGAGAAACAAGATGTTAAATTGATACCAAATACTAAGAATTTGAAATGAGAACTTAATATTTTAGTACTACTACCAAAATAAAATGCTCTAGTTTGATCTGTTTGAACTTGTGTTTAGCCATACGTGGGCAACATGTAGTGTAGGATTCATGTCATGGGGTTAAAGGGAACTTTTTATGTAAGAAGCTGTGAGATTTTATTTTTTTATTTTTTTTTACCGATAGGAACTATTATTTTAGTCATGGATTAATTTTTTAATAGTCTAATATGTAAATTTGAATGGTTCTTTTCTTGATTGATTTGGTATACATGAATCAAGCTCCTCCAATCTTTTTTAATAATTAAAAGTTCTAATGGAATAATGGATCGATTCCCTTTAAGAAGAAGGAAAAAACCTAATTTCTTTAATTTCATATTATCATCTATATATATAATAAAGATCAAACATATGGAGAAGAGCCCGCTAACGAAGTCGAACCGGTAACGTACCCTCGCTGTCTTGGCTATGCTACCGGAGTGTCCACCTTAAAATTTACAACACTCCTATTCATAGATCATGACAATCAGAGATGGAAAATAGTTATTAACGTAAAATTTTCCGAAGAATTATAACTAAGCTTTCTTGATGGAGATAAAGCATGTATTAAGGATCCTTTACTATTATCTTTGTATGTTATTCTTTTATTAATATTATTTATTTTTTACGTTTGATTGATGGACTCAAAATTATTATTCAGAATCATTCTCGATTTATGCGTGTTTTTTATGAGAAAAAATATTATAGCGAATTATAAACTATAATTCGAATCATGACATGAATCTAACAACCAAACAGTCGCTTTCAATCGTGAGATATCAAATATCAACCGTGAGGTGTGCCTATGAATATCTTGCCCTGTTGTTTTCCGTTGTGGGGCTGCTTTCACTTTCATGGGCTTTTTCTTTTGAGGATGGAATTTCGTGGCTTTTAATGGTTTGAAGCTATCGTTTCGATTTCAGATAACGATAAAACGGAAAAGTGTGTCACTGAAATGGATGGCGTTCCGTCATTGTTATCGTTTTGCTAAAACACGATATGGGCATGATGGATATAGTTAGTTTCTTTTTCTTCTTTTTTCTTTTTTCTATTTTGGCCTAAAAGAATTTGGAATTTGCTTTTGAAACTCCATATGTTTAAATTCTTAATAATTGAAAGAAAAAAAATAAGAATATGTTTCGTATAATTCAATTTGTCTCTACTATGTGTCCACTTTTAGCACGTTTAATCTGCTCCTAAAATATCCTTTAAAAAAAAATAATTAAAGACAAGGCTTTTTACAGTGACATAATTTATATTTTAGTAAAACATGACCGAAATTAATTTCGACACTTATATTAGCTTTTAATCCGATTAATGATGCCATTATTTTCTTACACGTCGTATTTAGGGATGAAAGTGGGATTAGTTGCGGTGTATATTCTTAAACTCTATCCAATTGATTGTGATGTGTAAAAAAGAAAAAAAAAATCATTTTTGAGGGGAGAAAAAATGATGACCATATTTTCTTTATTTAAAAAAAAATATCCTATAAAAATAAGATAGCGTTTGGTATGAGAATTCTAGAATCATAAATTTATAATCATGAATCTGGTTCAAATCATTATTTATTTGTAAAAAGTGAAAAATGTTTTTTATTTAAGGTTTAAAAATCAGTATTTAATTTAAATAGTTCTTATTTAAGATTTGTATCTTGATATAATGTTTTAAATTAGAACTATTGTTGGTTTTAAAAGTACATTCTCTCTTGTTTAAATCTCTAATTCTGATCATAATTTTAAAATTATAATTAAACTCAAAATTATGAATTTTAATTTTAATTTTAAAATTAAAATTAGAATCACAACTAAACCGAACCTAAAAGATAAAGATGGCCAAGCTGGCAAAAGCTGTGTGTGATTTGTCGTTGCAATCTACCCTCGTCGGTCGCCGAAAAAGCGCAAAACTAATTTACACATAAAACGCGCTTTTCATTTACGATTTTTAACTAACCCCCAAGGGCCCAACAATAAATAAATAAATAGATAGATAGATAAAAAAATTACAAAATTAGAAAGTAATACCAATAAATAATAAATAATTGGAAAAGCGCGCCAACAAAAACCAACTTCACTCCAGAATTAGCTCAATCTCTATCCTCTGCCCCAAAACGGCAATAATTTTCCCGAGAAACAAACAAAAACTTCTCTCTCTCTCTTCTTATATTTCACCGCCTTTTTCTACCAATCCCTCGTCAGAACTTTCCAAAAGAAGACACTCGTTTGTTTCATCTTCAGATTCTCTCTCTAGAATTGCAGGATCAGCAATGGGGTCCGCGGAGCAGAGGATCCTAGTCACCGGCGGGGCGGGCTTCATCGGCAGCCACACGGTGGTTCAGCTCCTCCACGAAGGATTCGCCGTCTCCATCATCGACAACCTCGACAACTCCGTCATTGAGGCTGTCGATAGGGTTAGGGACCTGGTGGGCCCCGAGCTCTCCAGGAAGCTTCGTTTCCATCTGGTACGTCCGATCGATCTTCTTCTCCCGTCGTGCTGTGTTTGTTTCCCTAGAAAATTGTTTCTTTCTGTTGTGGAAGTGGAATTTTGGAAAACTGGAAACTCTTTTTTGCTTCCGTTTGCTTTGTTTTACAGCTTTTTAGAAGTACTTAAGTGGCTTTTGGCTTAATTTGGTTGCATTTCAGGGTGATCTCAGGAATAAGGAGGATCTGGAGAAGCTATTTGCCGACACTAGGTATTATAGAATTGTTCTAAATTTACTTACTTTTGGGTTCTTTCAATTTTACTTCATTTCATCATCAATTTTCTCAAAGCTTTACTGGACAGTCAATTAATATAGTTTTTTTTTCTTTTTTTTAAACATGAAACAGATTTGATGCTGTGATCCATTTTGCTGGCCTAAAAGCCGTAGGGGAAAGTGTTGATCACCCTCGTCGTTATTTCGACAATAATTTGATTGGCACAATCAATCTTTATGAGGTCATGGCAAAATACAATTGTAAAAAGGTTCGTTAATTGGAATCCTGTTTTTTCAGATTCTTGTAAAGATTTGATTTTTGTGTCGAGATGAAGCTTTATATGGAGATTAACCTTTGATATTATATATATATATATATATATATATATATTGGAAGTTGGAACTTGGGGGTGAGAGGATTT